CCGGCAGCCGGAACCCCTCTGCTGATGTGTCACTGCTTGCTTCTTTGCCTTTCATCCCCCCTCCTCCCGTGTCCCCCCCAGTGGCCCTCTCACCCTTCACTGTAACACGCCGTATAGGTCACCCCTACCAGAACCGCACGCCCCCCAAGAAGAAGAAGCGGCGCACCTCCTTCACCCGCCTGCAGATCTGCGAGCTGGAGAAGCGCTTCCACCGGCAGAAATACCTGGCCTCGGCCGAGCGCGCTGCCCTGGCCAAGGCCCTCAAGATGACAGACGCCCAGGTGAAGACCTGGTTCCAGAACCGGCGCACCAAGTGGAGGTGAGGGGCTGGGGGCTCAGCGAACCCAGGGGGCTGGGGCTAGGGCAGCCCTGGGGGAGCAGGCCCCGCTGCCACTGGCTCTGCTAAGGGCATCGGTTGCCGCATGTGGGGGTGCGAGCCCTGTGAGTGCACACATGGGGGGTCACGCGTCTGTGTGCATATGAATGTGTTCGTAAACACGCGTGTTGGGAATGCGTGTGTGTGCACAGCCGCATGTGTGCAGGGCCTGTGGGTATGAATGTGTGTGTGGGGTGTGTGTATAGGCCATGTGTGCACGTGCCCATGCGTGTGTGTGCATGCAGTGTGAGCGTGTGCACACCTCTGGGGGGGTGTGCAAGCAGGGCATGAGTGTATAACTCTGCACAATATGTGTAAATGCTTTTGTGTGAAGGCCCTGTGCACATGGGTGTGCACACCTGTGGTGTGTGTAAGTGCGTGTGCCTGTGTGTGAGTGTGCTTGTGGGTGTGTGTGCAAACCGGACATCTGTGTATGGATGTAGGTGCAGGCAGTGTGCATTCTGTGTGTGTGTGTACACTGTGCAAGCACACAGCATCTGTGTGCAAGTAGGTGTACATGCGAGCAACGTGGATGAATGCATGTATGCACACACGTGCACCGTGGGTGTGCAGCGTGCAGCGGCTCCAGCACCTCTTTCCCCGGCAACAGTGGGCAGGAGGCCCTGGCCCAGCCTGGGGGGTGTCCCCAGGCAGCAGCAAGCTCTGGTGGGGCCAGACCCTGGGTGATGGCGGGGAGTGGCATCAGGAGCTGGACCTGTCGGTGCATGGCAGCGGAGGCAGTGGGACCCCCGGTAATGGGGTAGGGCCCCCGTGGTGTGGGAGTGCAGATTGGACCAGATCCTGCACCCAGGGCTGCCGGCATATTGAGCCCTGCATAACGCTGAAATTTTCACCCCTGCAGGGTTTACGGCACTTCGTTGTCTTTTTTTTTTTTTTTTTTTTGGTGGTGTGGATTTTGGTTTTTCTTTTTTTATTTTATATTCTTTATTTTTTTTTTTCCTCACTCCCTCCTGCTGGGCGTGCCGGTAAAACCAGGCAGGAGGGGAAGAGGAGGCCAGGCTCACACAGAGGGTTCCAGGCCCTGTTGCTGTGACCCTGCCCCTCCCAGGCTGCAGCTTCCCTGAGGTGGCCCTGGCAGTGGCATCCCAGTCCTCGGAGCATGCCCTGTCCTGCACTGGGCTGGGGACAGCACACTGCAGGGGGGGAGCTGGACAAGGGGCAGCTCCCTGGCAGGTCAGAGGACTGGGGTGCTGCTGGGTGCTGAGCACTGGGTGCTTGGGTGCAGGCAGGCTGTAGCTGCTTCAGGGTGGGGGGAAAGGGCTTTCCCGAGGTCTTCCTGGGGGTGAACGGGACAGGGATTGCCTGGGGATACTGGGGTTGGATAAGAAATGGGGGACAAGGAATTTGAAACCAAGGGTGTGGGTGAATCCCCCCCTTAGCAAGCCCTTTTGTAAGGAGCCCATGGAAGAGCAGCCCCCAAAGTGCCAGGAAATCTCCAGCTGGAGCGATTCTGTTGGCCAGAAGCAGAGAGCTGGAGGAGGAACAGTCGTGCCGTGGCGTGCAGAACGGGGTCAGCTATGTCTCCTAACCTGGTTTCCTAAGGAAGTGAGGCAAATGCGGCTTGGCTGGATCTCCGTCTGTCTTTCAATACTCCTTGCGTCTGTTGGCTAAGTTCAGCCCCCTTTGGCAGAGGAGCAGAGTATACAAACCTATTCATACACTTCACAAAAAATATTTGGGTAAAGAGAAACCAAATCCTGGTTCTGCCGCAGGGAAAGGCTAGAGCCTGACCTCAGCCATAGTATTAGACATGGGAGAATCCCCACCAGCCTGAGCCAGAGGGACACAGGCTTGTAAGCTCTGCTTCTTTGCGTTTGTGCATGTTGAGTGTTGTGTTGGAGATCCGGGTGTGTGCTCGATGTCCTGGCCTCGAAGCAGTGCCTGGAGTGCTGGGTGCTGGAAGGAGCCACTTGCAGGCACAGTCTGAGCTAGGCAGCGGCGAGTATCTGAGAAAGGAGAGTTGCTTTAAGACCTCTGAGGGATTTGATTGCTTAAATAAATGCAGGCTCGGGGAGGAGAGTTCCCCTCTTGCCTGGGCAGTTCTGCTGCAGTGAAGCAGTTTTGTGATCCCTGCCCCAGATCTGGGCTCTCACTTGAGACGTGGTCATCAAGGTTTAGTTCCTTCATCTGCCCAAGCAGATTTGAACCTGCAAATCTCAACCTGACATGAATGCATGAAACAAGCCAGCTGCTTGGAACAAGGAAATATTTGTGAGCCTGGTCCCTTTTACCCCAGCTGGGTGCTCACAGCCACCGTGCTCCTGACTGCTCTGGATGTGAGTCTCTCTCCCTCCTCCCGGGAGCATCTCTTCATTGTGCAGGGAGTCATTAAATATTCATCAAAGCAGAGACGGAGCTGCTCCTGGGCTGTGCAGGGAGGGCCTGTGCCATTCCAAGCCCCCTCTCCCCAGAATGTCTGACTTGAGATGTTGACACAGTGATTAGGGCAGGGACTGAGCCCTGAGCTACCTGCTCGCCAAACAGGAGCCCCAGCCACATGCCTGGAGACTTGGGTACCCCAGAGGCTTGTCACCTGCATCCAGCCCTCAACTGGTTCCCCAGCAGGGAGACAGGGAACCCCTGCCCCATGCTCTGAGATGTCACCATGGAGCTTGGAGCTGCCACTTCAATCCCCTCAGACAAAGAAAGTTAGATGTCTTGTGTCCCCCTGAGATGCTAAATTGAAAAGCTGCCATTTCCCCTGTCACTGATCCACTGAAGCTGCCTGGAGAGTGTCAGTTGGGCCTGGGGGTGTGAGCGAGGGAAGGGGTGCTTTGGGGATCATCCTGGTGCTGGCACTGTGAGCTGGCCCCAGGTTTTCCCAGCAGAGTCACTGGAAGTGCCAGGTGATGTTCACAAGTAAAAGCAGAGGTGATTGCAGGCTGCAGCCTCCAGACTGACCTGCCATCCAAGGAAGGCTGGGGGTGGATTTTCATTGTGGATTTAAGTGTGTTCAGGCCATTCCTACCTATCCCACCCCCTTCTCCCAGACAGCCTGGAGCTGGGACCCTGCCAGTACTGGAGAGGGCTGCTGTGTCCACCCTCAATCCCCCTCGGCAGGATTAGCTCTGCCGCTGTCATTCCAGACGCATGTCCAACCTGTTCTTAAAAATATCTCTGTCTTCATCCAGACTCTTGTCAGCCAGCCACCGCAGCCCAGCAGAGGAGATGGCAGGCTGAGGTACAGGGAAAGGGATGCCTGGGGTGACGTGTCCCCCAGCCGCGTGGCACTGACAGCAGCGTCTCACCTCGGTCCTGCTCTGTGCTCCCCACTGGGACATGGTGCGCTTGGGTCTCACCGTTGGGCACAGAGGACATTTGCAGTGAATCGCACCTTTTGCAACTCTGCTGTGTTACCCTGGCTCTGTGTGGATTTTTCGCATGGGCAGAAAATAAACCAGAGCTGTGGGCTGCTCCTGGCTCTCTTTGATCAGAGCGATTTTTGCTGGGGCCAGTAAGATAGACAGCTACACCCCCCAGTTTATGGGACTCACTGGCAGTTTGTGCAGGGGATGTGGGACCACGCCTTGGCTAGGCACCCTCTTTTCCTATCCCCCCAGCCCTAAGCACCCAGCACAACCCTTCACCTCTGGAGATGCCCCTCCTTTGCTCCCCAGGCCCCCCTAAACGCTCCCTTTCTCCTAGGAGGCAGACGGCAGAGGAGCGGGAGGCCGAGCGGCAGCAAGCGAACCGCATCCTCATGCAGCTGCAGCAGGAGGCCTTCCAAAAAACCATCAACCAGCCCATCCAAGCCGACCCCATCTGCGTCCACAACTCCTCTCTCTTCGCCCTCCAGAACCTCCAGCCTTGGTCTGATGACGCCACCAAGATCACCAGTGTCACCAGTGTTGCCTCCGCTTGTGAATAAGGCTGGCACCCGCTGGTGGCACGTGCACC